CGGAGAATTTTAAGATCAAGGGAAAAATATCAAACTGGTCGAACTATTATTTTTTTTTTTTTGTATGTAAATAAAAATACACATTTAAAATACATGTACCGGTATTAATAATTATATGATTATCACTGACCCAACACAATGCTAAATTTTTCAAAAAAAATATAATTGACTCGCGATCAAAAAAGGTTGCCGACCACTGGTCTAGAAGAACAACATGGGAAAGGAATAGTTTTATATAGTACTCTAATACTACTTATAATTGAAAACACTGTTGATTTGTTTTTCAAACACATTTTTAGTTTATCTTATTTCGTTAATTTCAATGCTTACTATGTCTTATGTTTAAAAAAATTTAATTTGCTTGTTATTAAATTTTACTTTGCTGGTTTCCCCTTCACCATGGCTTAGCGGTCAGTTCGAAGCCTTCTAATTCTTAAATTCAGGATTCGATTCTTGCAATGGACACGGCACAAATAGCTCATTGTACAATTTTATGCTGAATAATAAACATTTTTAGTTTGATGTTTTGAGCCCCCAGTGGCACAGCGGTATGTCTGCGGACTTTCAACGCTAGAATCCGGGTTTCGATACCCATGGTGGGCAGAGCACAGATAACTCATTGTGTAGCTTTGTGCTTAATTACAAAGAGATAAAAAAAACAAAATTGATGTTTTGCAAAGTAAGGCTTTAAAGTTTTTATGTAGTTTAATTATACACAAAAGAGGAGCAGCCAGGGTACTTAATATTTCTACCTAGAGTCAGCAGTATTCAGAGTTCTGTTAGAATATCAACAGTCGATTTTGCAACCATTGGCAACGGGATTTAAAACAACTGTGGAGGGCTGAGAGAGAGAGACTGACAAGAAAGTGACGTACGTTTGCGCATGAACTTCACCGATTATGTAAGTAAAATTTTGTTGCAGGGTTTTCAGAATACTTCCGACAGGCTACATCGAGCGGCAGGGTTGTCTAGAGAGAAGAATCTTTAAGAAATACGTTACCATAAGAGTTTAAGACATAACTCTATATTTATTTTAGATATCTATATAAACGTTAAAAAGTTATGGCCCTTGTATGCTTGATGCTTGCATTTCTCACAGTTGGTATCATGAAGATAGAGATGACCGGAGCACAAAACATTCAGTCAGAAGTAAAGTTCCCAGCGTCAATATCTTCGGTTTATCAGGGGAATTGTAACAATGAAACCCTGGGATATAACATGTCGAAAACTCCTGGCGACAACGGATTTCACATAAACATTTTAGGGGACCCTGATGGATATATCCCAGGAGAGGTTTACACAAGTGAGCAAATCAATGTTGAGAAACTTCAATACGTAATTATTATATATACAGTTTATTAAATATATTAGATTAAAAATTAAGCCAAAATATATGAATGTAATGTTATATCTTTGGTGTGAACTTAAAAAGTGTTTATAAAAGTTCACACTTGCTAGTTTCTATGTGTATTTATAATGTAAATTAATGTACTAGAGAGTTTCAGGGTATCAAAATTTACATGATGCCCTATACATACACGTACATGTTATATATGCAGGCGCGCGCGCGTGTGTGTGTGTTTAAATGTTGACATCTCCGTGGCCTAGTGGTTAGCGTGCCCTAACTATTAATCTGAGATTTTATGAATCGCGTTCATTTGGCCAGAAAAACATGCTCCACACTATTCGGTCTACAAGAGTAGCACAAGAGTTGACAGATGGGTACTTTTGACTAGCTGTCTTCCTTCTAGTCTATCATTTCAATTTTATGGACGGTTATGTGCAAATATTCCTTTGTGTATCTTTGCACGAATACTCTGAAACAAATAACAACCATTGTTAACCGATTTTGTAGAATGTATTCCGGAGCAACTACAGTAACATTTTGTAGCAATGTTGACTGTAAAAATGCACATAGAAAGTATTTTTTTATTCTTAATGTAGTTAAAGATATCCAAAAAACTATAGAAAGAGAGCACATCTAAATGCTTGCTTGCTTTTCTTATAAATAATTACTAAAGCATTTTAAAAGCTTTGCCAACAGCATGTGAATCTCAAAATATTATCTGAGATAAATGGTTGTAAAACAAAGTCGGGAAAATTGTCCATATAATATGTATGTTCGGGTTAAAAATTGCAATTCATAAGATTTTTTTGTTTGTTTGAAGTTAAGCACAAAGCTACACAATGGGCTATCTGTGCTCTGCCCACTACAGGTATCAAAACCCGGTTTCTAGCGTTGTAAGTCCGCAATTCATAAGATGCATTACAACGGCACATTTACATATCAAAGTAATTATGAAGTAAATTGTTTCTCCATGCAGTTTGGGTGTGGCCTAGTGGTTTGTATTCCGGGCTGGACACGAAAGGTCTAAGGTTCGAGCGGCGATGCCGTTGAAAACTCTATACTTTTAACTGTAGACACATTATGAAAACAAGATAATTAAAAATTGTTAACTTAAAAAGGGGGGATAGTCAAAAAAGTACACAACCAAGTTGAATCAAAATGAAAATATTATATTTTAAGCCTACATGCAACTAGGGGCTCTAAAAAAGTAAAGAAACAAGGCTGGAAATAGTGTCTACATTATTTTCTCAAGCTACAGATCCCTATTTTGACTCCATGTCTACAGTACTTATCAATTTTATTGGAGTCACGAGTAACGATGAACGATAGCGACTCGAGTAACGATATGAAACAGAAAAATCGGGAACTTTCACGTGGCAGTTTCTAGTTAATGCCTACAAAATGCACGAATTATAGTTTCAACTAACGCACATGCTAAGTGAAGGACTTAGAAAATTTCGCAGCACGAGAAAATTAAGGAGGTCGAATTAAGTTTAAAACTACTCTATCAGTTTTTGCAAAATTCCTGTGCGATCCCACACTACAGAAGATATCACTTGCAATAATTTTATAATGGAGTCATAACAGGGATTTGTAGTTTAAGCAAACTATCAACAGTAGACCCCCAACTGTGTTTGCTTGCTTTTTTTTGCGATTGCTATTTGTAGATTTTAATTTATCAATTTTTAATTATCTTGTATGCTGGCTTTTTTAATGCATAACAATGTGCAAATATATGCCTAGAGTAAGACACAACCACATCTAAGCGCGAATAAAATTTTACCAGTAGAAAAGCGGCTTTTTCGAATAAAACAAATACGTCTAAAAAATAATTATTTACTGAGCCAGGTGGCTTTCGGCCTGAGATTTCGTGTAACCACGCATTTAACACGCGTCCAGTACAAAAGGCCGCTCAGAACAACATGACATCTATTATGTGTCAATAACCACGTAAATCAACTTTTAGATAGATCATGGACATTTGTAGCGCTTCATATAGTATATCTATCTATGTTTTGGTGCAAAATACCTATCAGATTTTGCTGTAGGCTTATCCATTCATCACGCCCCTCTTGCCGGTGGCTCGGAAGTAAGTCTGAGGGCTCATGACGCTAGAAAGCTGGTTTTGATACCCACGGTGGGAACAGCACAGATAATTTATTGTGCAGCTTTGTGTTTAATACCAAAACAACGAAAAACTATTACGTTCATCGTTGTGTCAAGCATAAGTCTAAGGAATTACAACGCTAAATACCAGGGTTCGATTCCCCGCGGTAGACAGTGCGCAGGGAGCCGAATGTGTAGCTTCGGCTGGGCGTGGCATATTGTAAGCATATCCGAACTATGAATCCGAGGAGTTATGGTACACGTCCCACTACTGCAAAATCGAACTCCTACCTTTTGTTTCTTAGGTGCGCAATAAGAGTGAGGGCAGAATCTTTCTATTCGTTCGTATAAGAGTAGTTCAAGAGTTTGACGATGGAACACTTTTTATATTGAGGCGTTGTAACCCTGTATATGATGAAAACTACTTATTCGTTCGTTGCTATGTTGAAATGTGTTAAAACAATTATACAAGCATCAAAGTGTGTTTATCTATTTAATTAAGTAAACTATATTCTTTATACACAGCTCTTATTACAATGTTTACAACAAGCTTACCAGCAAACCGAAAAGTAAATTGGGCTACCCAACACTACGCTATTTTTTTTAATTCTGTATCAGTCAAAAACATTTTTTCTGAAGTGGCTGACACAATATTTTCTCCCAGTAAATTACAACAGTAAATATCATACAACGGCTCTGCCACACTATCAAAAGATATAGAACTTATATATATATTTAAGAAATAAATTCACTTACATAGCTTTGCATGAACTATCGACGAGCGTAAAATGTAAATCATAAAAAGTGCAAATCAAAGCACGTTTTCTAACACCATCAGCAGGTGCACAGTTCTCCCATACTTCAAGCCAACAGGGTGCTACCACACCCAGCGCCCCTTATTCCTGACATCTTGGCGGTGAGTGCTACTACTTAGCTACATATTAAAGTATCTGCACTCTGTTCACCACTGGGAACAATATTTGCGGGATTCTGATTTTAACGCAAAGCTATACATTAGGCTATATGCTCATTGTTCACCGCAGGGAAGAATATTTCCGGGAGTTTGTGAGTTTGTTATAACACAAAGCTACGTATTAAGCTAACTGCACTCTGTTCACGGAAGAATATTTCCGAAGCAATGGATTCTAAGAAAAATTTACGATTATGACGATTCTATTTCTTGCTGTTTGACTAAAAAAAAAGAAGCCTACATTGTTAGTAATTTTTCTGTGAATCTTTTTTTTTATCTCGATAAAAAATTAAGGGAAACAATCCTCAAATTAAAACTTTTTTTTTGCTATCTTTTTTTACGGTAAATTGCCAGTGATGGGATAAAAGAAATATGTGTGTGTGTGTGTCTGTTCCTTATACATTTCCACATTTCTTGAACAATCAGTACCAAACTTGGCACAGTGACACAGGATGACACGAGGAAGGTCATGGAGATGGTTAGATCCCCCCCTCTAATTTCGGAAAACCACCAATGTTGTATGTCTTTCAGCATTAGAATGAACTATGTAACCACTATTGTTAGAATTATTAAAACAGTATGTCTTTGTCAAAATAAAGGGCTTTATTGTTCTTAATATTAAATATAGTAGTAGTATTTAGTAAGTAGGTTGAATAATATGGGTGTAGGACTAAGGATTCTTCTACAATAGGTGTCTGTGACTTGTTGGCGATAAATTCAAAAATAAACGAACAACACACACTCCACTTGTTTTCACAATAACATACATATATATATTCGAACTTATTAAACGTATATTCAACAAATTATTTACACTATAGAGATCATAGGTATATCATAAACACTATATATAGTTCTCTCCTTCTTGTGAAAAGTCCACTTAAGCCTATTCAATTGCTTTAGAATTTTAATTGACAAGCCAAACTACGTTTCTATATTTCTATCGCACTAGTATTCCGTGTATAATTCACTTACAATTATAGCGTGAGTTACCACAGTCGTACACTGCTCTTCTAGTAATCGTCTGGTCCTCGTGCTTTAGATATCGTCTCATCTTTTTGTCAGAGTGCACTGAGGCTAGTTCAATTACTGTAAAAATCGCTTTGTCGGAATAAACTATACTTCTTGTCTCTTTTAAACTGTTAGTTTTCCTCTAACATAATAATCGTTTGGACTTTCATTCCTACGGCAGTTAACTTTACGTTTAACTTTCCTTGGCCGAATTTCTACTTCCTGTGACTTTACTTTCTCGTCTGCAATGTCTGTCTGTTGTTTCCACTCGTCTCACACTATTTAAATATTTATCACTCAATCGTCTTCTAGCCTTCTAAAAAACTCTATATCCTCGGCATCAATAAATTTCACGCAACGTTCGATAGCCTCAACACCAATGAATTATAAACACAACTTCCATTAATCGTCTGCTTTTAACCCTCTTATTATAAAAATACTAAACAATCATGAAATATTAACTCACAAAATAATTAATTAATACTACCTACGCTAACCAGTCTTTTGTATCTGACAGTTTTTCTTTTCGGTATTGATACCTTTATGTATTTTTATTGCACTTTTAATATTTATTATGTTAAGAAAATAAAATAAAAGCACAATTTCCTATCCTTTGTTACAAACGAGTTTTTTATTCCACCCATCCAAAGGACGGGTACTCCAACTAGTATACTAATAAAAAATTCGCATTTTGACAAGACAAAAAAACATCAATTACAAAAATAAAAGTATATAATGTTTTGTTGTAAATAACTACCTGATATCACCGAAATAGCATTGGAGAAGTACCTAAATAGTGTTGAGGATATCCTATCTCATTGCACCTAAATAACATTAGGAATATCTCGTCTCTTCAATTATTTATCAAGATGAAAACGCAAAAGCAAGGTTCTTTCTATTGGTATAATTTTCTATTTGTTGTTAGTTTGTCAAAGCGCGAATTTGTTATTAGTATATATATATATATATATATACGTAACCATTCTCAGTTTGCCCTTGAAGAAGAAAGGTCCACCTTTCGAAAGTGCTAGGGTTATAGAGATTTTATTCATTTCTATCATCAAGACTTTTTGAACCTACGTGTTTTTCTAACATCATGTATACGTAACCATTAATTCTTTCTTGGCTTTTCTCACTATGATTCTAAAATTCTTAATACTGGAAGTATTTTTTTCCCAGTTTCCTTACAGGAATACAAACGGCACTATACAATCCAGAAGTTCATTAGTTTCGTTCTATCGGTTGAGCCTAAAGTGATCGCAAACTACTTGAACTATAATAATGATGTGCCCCTGAATGTCGGCTTCTTTCAGGTATAGAAAACGTTTACATTTATCCACCCATTTAAAACTTAAGTTGCTAAAAATAATATCTTACCCTTATAATTTTTTTTCATTTCAACTAATTTTATATTTTTGTGTTCACGTGACTAAGATAAATTTTTACAAGTTCTATTTTTTTACAAATATTATTCACATTTTTGTATTTATCCATTAACCATAATACTCGTGTGTTGTATTCACGATATTTTTCCAATGTTCGTCATTGTTGTAGATGTATGAGGATGGCTTATCTAAATTCTTTGAGGACTGCCCTCATATCATTGTCCAGACTTCAGGCATTCCAAAGTCCGAGATTCAGGTGATGTGGACGGCTCCACCTTCGATGTCTGGATGTGTTGTATTTAAGTAAGTTTATCATAATACGTTATTCTCATGTAATGCCAAATTAAGGTAATTAGAATGATGTGTAATTCTCATGTTATATTCAATTTAGTTAATGATAATGACGCGTTATTCCCATGCAATGGCTTAGGCAAGTTAACTAAAATGTAATATTCTAGTGTTGTGTCCAACTAAGTTAATGATACTAACGTGTTATTCTCGTGCAATGCTTACATAAAGTAATTAGAACGATGTGTGTTATTCTCATGTCACTGCTCTCACTTAATATTGTGTTTTTATATATTAACCTCATCATCCTGACTGGTTACTTCAACAGTTCGCTGTTTATATCGTCGAGTAACACGGTGTGATAAGATAACTTAAAATAAGGCCATAATTTTACTATATGTTTCCTGCTTTTTAACAAAACAGCTACCTAGAGTTAGTCACTCCAATAAATATACAATATCATGTAACCTGAAACAAAGATCTGGTTTTTAACTAACGCTGAATGTAAACTAAAAAAAAGATCATAGAGTGTGTATGTAAATGCTAACAGTCTGATATTTTATGAGGTGGTTTGTGTGCGCCAGACATTGTAATCTACCTATATACCGAAGCGTGTAGCACCATTATGTTGTCTTTGTTCGGTCTTACTATCTTGGATCTAGTATATTACAACTCAAACATAATTAAATCTTATGAGGTATAGCTTGATGCAATACGGGCGGATTTCTGCATTGATGAGTCGTGTGATTGTTATATATAAACCACCGCAAAATACCATAAGTTAAGCATACTGACTAGTATATTGTAAGGTTTCGAGGCTTATACTCACAGAATGCATTCCATAATAACTGTTAAAGCGAAGCTTTTATGATGTTATACTCGAGTGTTAAAAAGATCCCCATACATTAAGGAGAAAATATTATGGACTGCAAGTGTGTTTGAAACATGGATGAAGAAGTTATATCTATGTTAAGAAGATCTTCAAATCTTACAGAACGGATATTATGGACTATAAGTATGTTTGGAACATGAACGATGGAGCTATATCTACATGTCAATAAGTTTTCATGTCTTACAGAATGAAGATTATGGACTGTAAATGTGTTTGAAACATGGATAAAGAAGTTATATCTAAATGTTAACAAAATCTTCATATTTTACAGAGTGAAGATTATGGACTGTAAGTTTGTTTGAAACATGGACGACGGAGTTATATCTAAATGTTAAGAAGATCTTCATATCTTACAGAACGGATATTATGGACTATAAGTATGTTTGGAACATGAACGATGGAGCTATATCTACATGTCAATAAGTTTTCATGTCTTACAGAATGAAGATTATGGACTGTAAATGTGTTTGAAACATGGATAAAGAAGTTATATAAATGTTAACAAAATCTTCATATTTTACAGAGTGAAGATTATGGACTGTAAGTTTGTTTGAAACATGGACGACGGAGTTATATCTAAATGTTAACAAGATCTTCATATCTTATAGAGTGAAGATTATGGAATACAACGATGTTTGGTACATGGATGATGGAGGCTTGACTAAAGAGTTATGTGAAAAAAAAAGTAAGTTGCAAGACATTATGCCACGTATTATTAGTTTTATGACTATTTCCTTAGTTTATTTAAATATGTTATTAGAATATTCCGTTTTAGATTAATAAAGTAGAATAAATGAGCTTATAAATAGTATGAAACGACGAGAAATGCGCTTGAAAAGGAAAAGCCTTTTCATTTATATAGTGTTATGTAACACAGTGACAGTACTTACTCATCTCCAAAAGAGAACTAATTACAAAAGGAAAGGTATTCAATCAGAAGCACCCATCGTCCACGCGGTTACTTATAATCGAAAAATGGAATTGACTGTTACGATTATAACGCCCTAGCTAAAAATAATGGAACAAAAGTCCATTGGAGTTAAAACAGAAGACTTGACACGTATGTGGGCGAATAGTATTTCTGTGATTTTAGTCTTCTCGTCCATTTTTCTCAAAAAATTGACTGAGTTTGCCTGATTCTAAGTCCAAGGGTCAATGTTTCACGATCTGTTGCAATAAAATCATGCTCCAAACTTGTTTGATAGAGTGGGTTCAATACTACTACTCTGTTAGAGTGGCCCAAGATTTGGCGGAAAGTGCTAGGGTTAACTGCAATACATTTGAAAATTATGCACCATAGCACAGATACTTGTGTAACTTTTCGTGAATATTCAAAACAACCAACCAACAATTCAATACTACTACTCTGTTAGAGTGGCCCAAGATTTGGCGGAGAGTGCTAGGGTTAACTGCCTTGCCTCTAGTGTATCATTTGAAAATTATGCACCATAGCACAGATACTTGTGTAACTTTTCGTGAATATTCAAAACAACCAATCAACAACCGTTGGTTTTGTGACGTGACTGGAAGCTTGAAAACTTTCTTGGCTTATGAGTTTTAGTTTCTTCAAACAGGAAAGTAATTCAACTTCCTTACAATGGGATGTTTGTGTCAAAGAGTTCTCTTCCGTAACTATAGCCTTCATTTTAAGTTGTTCCAGATTGACTTTAGGTGTGGTTTTGGAGCCCATTTTTGTCCTAAACATTTTCCTGTGCAGGTTTTTACGTTCTTTGTAGAACTTTGAAGGCTTCCGTCTTCAAAATATTATGTTTTCTGGCTCTACATCGTTGGACAGTCTTGCTATACGAATATCCTTTCTCGGTAAAGCTGTCATGTGTTCCACCAATAATAAGCCTACCCATGGCAACAATACACTACCAAATTTTCAGAAATCGCCATGAATCCAACATATAGGGGCTAAACTTGTCTAACATTTAGCACACACACACACACACACATATATATAAACATATACAAGTGTTGATTGCACTATATTAAAACAATTTTGAAGATTCACCAAGTCGTTACAGTCTATGTGCCCACGTCCGGTCATGCTCTTTCTGACATCCGTGTATCTTGACAATAGCACTGCAGTGTAGTTTCCATTGCAAAAGGCTCCGTCGCGAGGCTGTTGTATTCCAAGCTCACTGCCTTTTCCACTTAGGTTTCCATAGTCCATCTAGTGTACGAAGATGATAGTTTCCGAGCGTCCGTTTCAACAGTGCGACTACACAGAAATCCATAGGCACTGCGCCTGATGACTTGACCTGTATGCCTTCGTATTGAATAGCATTGATACCAGTTTTATTTTCTAGCTGATTGAGGTATGTTATAGTTCAATGAATATGTCTTGCATACTGTTGCTTGGGGCACGTGGGTGGCATTTACCACTGATCTGTGTGTTCGAAGATCCCCACCTGTTATAAGACGCTGCACTTTTATTTCCACGATTTAGGTACAACCTGCTACACGTGTCTTTCTGAATGGTCCCGATGTTCCAGGTTAATCTATATTCATTTGTTTTCCAACGTATTAAGTATAAGGGATATACCCATCTTGGAAATTCTAAATATCCAATATGAACGCTTCTTTATGACCTGAATTTATGAATGTTTTGAATTGGAAAGGGTTGTCAGATACCCATTCAAGAGCGATCAATTTTCAGTGGTATCTCAGTACCTCAGAACTCCAAACAATGCCACATTTTATAGTTCTGACACATTCTGCTCTTTCAGGATTTTATATCAGCTGTGGTTGTCACATGAATTATTGATTTGCATATTAACGTTCATTTCAATGTAACTTAACCAACCCTGTATATATATAAGAGTTCCAGTTAACTGCCAATACCGTAGGCATATGATTACCAGACAGTAGCTAACACCAGGTACGTTTATGATTTTCATCTAGTATCAGGTACATGTATGTGGTTTCCACATGGTAGTTGCTAATAACGGGAAAACATTATTTCTTTGATAGTTCTATAGTCTAGAAATATTTATTGTGTATGTCGGATGATTACTAGACAGTTGTTCATCATGGTAGAATGTTCATTATTCTAAAAATAAAGCAATAAAAGTCAGCTTCAGTTCATGTTTTATAAAACCCTGTCACTTCGTGACGAAATAATTAGTTCAAACAGTTTGCCATATTTTAGTTTGTTTTACAGAACAGGAAAAGCAAGACGAAGAGCCGCATATAACTGAAGATTGTTGCGCATGTCAAGAGGCTAAGTACGAAGTTACTTTTGAAGGTTTATGGTCTCGACATACACACCCAAAAGACTTTCCTTTGAGTAAGTACACATCTACTGAATACGTCTGTTCTTATCAAAAACTTGCGAAATATGTATGTTATTATGATCGAAAAATATTTAAGCTCATGTGATGTTTTAAAGCAGTATAATCATTACAGGCTTTTGGTTTATAGCATGAAGTTCTAATCATTTTGTTATAAAGCATTGTTTTCATAAATTGCTAAGTTATTTTACCTTTGATCTACATTGCTAGCACATTCTGATCAGAAGCTCTTGATAGCTGTAGAACCTTTGGTACATATTTCTTGTGACGTTATGTTTACGCCTCTTCTTATTAATTGGAAGCATACGAAAAGAAAATACATTTCTATCTAATTCTTGTCTAGGCATCTTTTATCCGATTCTGGAAGATTAAAAAAAAAGTAAGTTTCACTCAAGTTTAAAAAGGGAGGAAGACGTGTGATAATTAAAGAACATTAAAGGATAAACCTCGGGAGATTTTTCTAATGTACAGGGAAAAGAAACCTTAAAAGATTATGTTAACTTCCAATTCATTTGATACCAGGAAGTCGGTGATTAAATAATTTGTTTGCAGTTCCCTGTGTATTATAAACCACTCAAAAGGTGGAAGTAAGCAATCAGGAAAAGACTAAAAGTTACATGGAAATTTTAAGGGCAGATATTAAAAACTGAAACTTCAATGTGTAAATGTTGACGTTTACTTCACTGACAGGCACTATATACAGTAAGCATGAGGCTTATATATCTAAAATTCAGAGTTCGATCCATGCAGTGGGCTTAGAACAAATAGTTAATAGTGTAGTTTTTTGCTTATCAAGGCTTTTTTACACATACTAACTTTTTCTGTTTTATATAAAATTCACTTATTTTCAATCGTTTTTTAATTTGTAAAACATGGGCATTTACGCTGGTGAATCTCAAAATGTGTATATTGTTAAATCTATTTTCTCATTATGTTGTACTGTACAAACAGTTATTTTGTGTAGAGAAAGATATATTTCGTTAAATGTTTAATAACGAAGAAATATGCCTTACTTAGGCTTGTTTTACAATGAAATCCTATTGTAACTTAATAGGTTTTCCAGTTAGCTACTCTAACTTTAATTCTAAAATATAGTGAAAAATATATAAGTTAAGCTATGCCTTTGCATTATATTTTTCAGTAAATAATAAGATGTGTAACATTTGCTTGTATAAAAACATCAGTATTCAAATCTATACGTGTATGTTCTATTAAATTCTTCGTATGTTCATGATGACATTATATATGATGATTAATATTGCAAACTTTACATTAGGATACGGAATAAAACGGAGTATTTCGTTGAATGGTCAAACCATATGATTAAAGTTTGAAAGATTTGTTTGTAATTAAGCACCAATCTACACAATGGGCTGTCTGTGCCCTGCCCACCACCGGTAACGAAATCCGATTTCTAGCATTGTAAGTCTGTAGACATGCCGCTGTGCCACTGAGGGCAAATTTTAAAGATAACTTAAAATAATGGCATTGAAGATATAATTTAGTTGGAAACAGAAAATGCGATAAAGAGACTTATCCTATAGATAGAATGTGACACATTAGCCTAATGTTAAGTGTGTTTTTAGGTGAATTATTGCCTCACTTCTCGGACATCATCGGCTCTTCACATACAGCTGATTTCCAGATGTGGGATTACGATGGTTTCGCCTCTGAAGGCTTGGGTCTTTTGGCGAAATCAGGAACTACAAAGAAACTAGAATCTGAATTAAAATCTGAGGTGAATATAAATTAGAATCTGAATTAAAATCTGAAGTGAATATAAACTAGAATCTGAATTAAAATCTGAGGTGATACAAATATTTTTCTGAACATAAACAACAACAATCGTACGCTCTGCTCTCTCCTCATTCACTTTTAATTTTAATCCATCAGATTCAATGTACTGTGGTTCTTATCTACAACAATTCTCGACAGCGTGAACGTTGTGCGACTGGAAATTAGTATTTGCTTTTCGTGGCTTACTTTCTTTGTAGTGAACGATATTTTAGGTCATGTGTAGAGGCCTTATTAAGAAGAAAGGCTTTGTACAGGATAGAAAACATCGCACAAAGTAATTTATAGAACGGAGTGTAGTTTCTTGTTCTTAATGAAACCTATCAATTCAGCCAAAACGTCTTGTCTAGAGAGTAGCAGCAGTTTAGATTATCTGAAGTATATTAACTTTCACGAAACCTGTTATTTCAGGCATATCGTTGTTCGGAAAAGATGAAGTCGAACAATATTATGGAATTTGTTTTGAATCATTGTTACCATGTGAAGTCGCACAATATTAAGGAAAGCGCTTTAATCACTGTTACCATATGAAGTCGCACAATATTAGGGAAGACGTTTTAATCACTATTACCATGTAAAGTTGCACAATATTAGGGAAGACGTTTTAATCATTGTTACCATATGCGTTTCAATCATTGTTACCATATGATGTCGCACAATATTAGGGAATACGTTTTAATCACTATTAACATGTAAAGTCGCATAATATTAGGGAAGACGTTTTAATCACTGTTACCATGTAAAGTCGCACAATATTAGGAAGACGTTTTAATCGCTATTACCAAATGACTAAGTTACTAAATGATAAATTACGCATCCTCACTTTTCATTTCTCTTGTGTGATATTTTGTAAGACGCAATATTTATTTGTACGTTAATTTTTGAAGAACTGAATAGTATGAGACGTGAAATAAAACAATTCCTCAGTATAAAAATTAATCTACTAGCCAATTATCCAATCACACATTTTTTATCCTATTACATGGTTTAGCCAATTATCTAATCACACATTTTTTATCCTATTACATCGTTTAGCCAATTATCTAATCACACATTTTTTATCCTATTACATGGTTTAGCCAATTATCTAACCACACATTTTTTATCCTATTACATCGTTTAGCCAATTATCTAATCACACATTTTTTATCCTATTACATGTTTAGCCAATTATCTAATCACACATTTTTTATCCTATTACATAGTTTAGCCAATTATCTAATCACACATTTTTTATCCTATTACATCGTTTAGCCAATTATCTAATCACACATTTTTTATCCTATTACATCGTTTAATTATGAGAATGGCGTTTTTCGTTTTTGTTTTTAAGTCAGAGAAAATTAGAACTATTATCAAGGCAAGAGGATTGTGGCATCCAAACTTGAACGGAAAAACATACGCCGTATTTCGAGTGGACAAGAACCACCACTTGGTATCACTACTGAGTAAAGTCAGCCCGAGTCCTGATTGGATTGTAGGAGTCAGTGCTTTGGAGCTGTGTGTGAAGAACTGCTCATGGGTAACCAAAAAGGTTATAGATCTCTACCCTTGGGATGCTGGAATAAATGATGGAGAATCTTACTTAGTAAGTCCAAATTCTAGAATGGAATTCAATGTGTTTACAACGATGCAATGCAAATGCATGTTCTTTTAAATTCAAGAGCATGCATGTAGCCCTCAGATCTTTCATTTTAATTTATATCTCTTTTTTTTGTTTATTCAATGAAACATAGTAACGTGATACTCTCATTCTTAAGTTTAAATCCTGAAATCCCATATCAACAGTTTTTTCTTAGTTTTTTGGGGATAATGGTTAGTGTGTCTTTGTGAAAGAAAGTTGCTTTTGTTTAGCTTAAAGCAACACAGGTGAAAGAAGAAAAAAATACCAGAATATCTTATTCCACACAAGCTAAAATGCTTATCCTATATATATATATATATATATATAAACTAGCCTTTTGACAACCAGAATACATATGTATGGAAAGAATTATTTGTGGTTTAACATAAGTATATAACATGGTATAACTTTTTAATTCAAGACTTGATCTGGTAATCAATTTTCTCACTGACTTATCTTTGTATCACCCTGACAATTATAAATTTTTGGTTTCACTTATTATAATTTTACCACCCAACATCCAAACAAATCAATTAGGGGTCAAGTATTAAATAACCTTTTATTAATATATAATGAGATTATCTAAACTTCCTGTAGCTTTCTATTAAGAAATCGATTTCTTCACTTATAACAACTGGGCTTAGAAGTTAGCAGATCAGAAGATTCATGGTTCGTGCTGCGTTGTCGTTGAACATGCTTTCATCTATGGGTGTGTTATAGGAGTGACATTCAGTCTCGTTAGTCGATGCAAAGCCTTAATAGCAACGGGGATGTTTGCTGGCTGCCTTTTCTCTGGTCAGTAGTTTAAAATTAGAGATGCTTATTCTCGCAACCTAGGGTTTTCTGATCTGATTACATAATCCATGTGCTCATCCTGGTTGATAATGCCAATACCATACTAAGAACAATTTTACTAAGCAAATAGAAAATATATATATATGGAGGAATTATTTTGGAAAAATATAATTCCGTAGCGTCTTTGATAAAATTTATTATTCATAAAAGATTATGAGGCTCAATTATTGTTCTTGTTGTATTTCACATAGTCACCTAAAGCTCAAAATATAAGGAACTGACAGATAGATCATATTTATTTTACAACTCAATATTATTTGATTATTTCTTGTAATAATATTTTTAACTTTTGTGGGAGGGATAGGAGGGCATGTTTCTTGGAGTAATTCTACAAGAATAAGAAACAACTAATTGGTCAGTTTAGGATAAGTTTTGAAGTCATCATTGCAGTATATGTTACTTTTGACACATAGAGTTATATATATATATATAATACTCATTCATAAGAGAAACGTAAATCTTACTGCTTTTCATAAAAGTTAAGCTGAATGGTCAGCTGTGGGCATAGGACAGGTAGCCCATTATGTGGCTTTTTGCTTATCAACACATAAACTAATAAAATAAGGAGTAATGATGGTGTGTCAGCCTAAAAATATAATTTACTCATCAGCGTTAGTTACGTAACAAGTTATTTTTTTTATCAATACACAAAATAAGAAAACAATCTGATAATGGCGAGCTTAGAATATTTAGTGACAAATGATGTACGTGACAAGTAAAGTAACCTTATTGGTATATCATGTTGGTGACAGTGAAATTACAGATTTAACGTTGGTCTGAGAAAAGACGTATTCAGCATTTTTCTGTTTCTTAAGAAATACAGCACTGGTCTCTATAAGAATAATTCAAAACAAAAGTTTAATTATAAACTTCTTGGTAAGATTACAAGAACTGAAGAAATGAAAACGAAATCAATATATATTTTATTTTCAATGTGACAAACTTCGCCCACCTTATGGCATGCCTGGAATTACATGGGGTTATTTAACCACAAATAAACAATTGAATAAAACACAATCAAATACTAGTCTTAAAGTAAACTAATATAAGCGTGGTTTAGAAAAACTACGCACGCAAAATATGAAAGTCTTTGGGGTAATAAAGAGCGATGGGACTTTAAGAAATGGACAAATGGTGTTTTTAAGCATATGATTCTTGGCTTTTCAGTCAGAAATTTGTGCAAACGATGTTTTTTCTCTCCAAACACCTTGTCAATTAAGCTTTATTTTTGTTCAAATAAGATTTTCTCCATCCTTTTAAGCCACGGGAGATATCGTATGATTTCAAAATCCGGTCCCCCATGGTAAACATTCAAGGTCCAAAAGTTTCGGTAATCTGTTGTGATTTTTCACTATATTTTGTGACATATAAAATTAAATGATATATTACTGGTTTACTTTTTTGTTTGTAGTCCACTGTGTTTCCTACGATACCTCAAGAAAGGATCAGAAGAATAACATCACGTCATCCAAACAGCCCACAATCACCATTTTTCGATCCCACCGGAATGCCTATGAAACCAGTAGCGAGGTTGACGATAGCACGGCAAAGAATTTACGAAAAGTCATGCGATAAAACCGGTAAATTTATCCCTATGACAGGTGATTCAGTAAAAACAATTACATTATATACATACGTGAAGGGTACTATATACATATGTGAACGATAATCATAATCAAAGTGAAACACAAATAATGTATGTATTTAGAATTCTAAGATTAAAGTTTATAGAAATATAAGTATTGACGTAAAGTCTTCAGTTACACCTATGCTCAGATTTAGATTTCATTATTCGAAAACAAAAACAAACTAAACACTAAATTTTTATTTCAAAAACTTGTGAAAACGTTATATTGACATTGCAAGTTTGGTATCATATCTAAAAATTATCACTATTAAATTTCATTGATTCCTTAACGAACATTCATATTTTTGGTCGTACATCAGTAAAAACACCCAAAGTTCTGTTAGTTTGGATTAGAAGTTTAAAATCAGATTGTGCTTGTCTGATATAACTGTCTACTGTTTTGTGTCAACAAGATGCATTTTAACAAATTTAAGGTCTTGTTTTTAGGAAAGGTCCTGTTAGTTTAGATTAGAAGTTTAAAATCAGATTGTGCTTGTCTGATATAACTGTCTACTGTTTTGTGTCAACAAGCTGCGTTTTAACAAATTTAAGGTCTTGTTTTTAGAAAAGGTCCTGTTAGTTTGGATTAGAAATTTAAAATCAGATTGTGCTTGTCTGATATAACTGTCTACTGTTTTGTGTCAACAAGCTGCGTTTTAATAAATTTAAGGTCTTGTTTTTAGAAAAGGTCCTGTTAGTTTAGATTAGAAGTTTAAAATCAGATTGTGCTTGTCTGATATAACTGTCTACTGTTTTGTGTCAACAAGCTGCGTTTTAACCAATTTAAGGTCTTGTTTTTAGAAAAGGTTCTGTTAGTTTAGATTAGAAGTTTAAAATCAGATTGTACTTGTCTGATATAACTGTCTACTGTTTTGTGTCAACAAGCTACGTTTTAACAAATTTAAGGTCTTGTTTTTAAAAAAGGTCCTGTTATTTTCCAAGTTGACTAGAGATATTGAGCCAAATACCACATAATCATGCTCTACTTTGTAATATTTACTATAATATTGATTCTTTGAATGTTATTTGGAACATTCTGAAGACTTGTTAATCTCAACTTGTTTAACAGATTTTAATGAAATCTCTTCTCAAACCTATAAACATTTCACGAAGTAAATACCAAAATCAAATAACCATTTTGATTTACACATACATTACTTTTAAGTTGGGCTTCAAGTTATACACTCAATGTGTTTGAGTTGTGAAGCAGAAATCAGTGTGGTAATTACTTGCACTATGAAATAATAATAGAAGGAACTATACGTGCAATTCATGTTTTATGAGTGGTGACCGTACCTGAGATCATGCATCTTGTTTTCATTTCCTGTAATTCATATTTCACTGCCGACAAAATTTTAAGAAAAAAGTGCACACATTAATGATTAAGCAAAGTTGTCAAAGGATCTTAGGCATAATTCTTCAACATTCTCCGATGAATCCATATTAATATTGACAACGTGACTTCTTTTTAGTCACATTTTACAGCATATTCTTATTATTTTAGTTGAATTATATGTGTGTAAAACTTACTAGTATAGCATAGTGTCTATTTCAAAACCATTCCTTAACTTTTTTAATAGATCGAATAAATAAAAAGAACCTCCTGGTGGTAGATCTAACATTTTCATGCTTACACTCAGAAACCTGTAACATACAGATTTTTAGAAATCCAACAAATGTGTTGATTCTGTTTTCATGTTTATTTATTCACCTTTCTTCTCCCTTTGTTTAGCCACATCATTAGAGTCTCTCCTCCTTTTGTTTAGCCACAATATTAGTCTCTCCTCCCTTTTTTAGCCACAGTATTAGAGTCTCTCCTCCCTTTGTTTAGCCACATTATTAGAGTCTCTCCTCCCTTTGTTTAGCCACATCATTAGAGTCTCTCCTCCTTTTGTTTAGCCACAATATTAGTCTCTCCTCCCTTTTTTAGCCACATTATTAGTCTCTCCTCCTTTTGTTTAGCCACATTATTAGTCTCTCCTCCTTTTGTTTAGCCACATTATTAGTCTCTCCTCCTTTTGTTTAGCCACATTATTAGTCT